AAAATATGTTTCCTCGACGAGCCAAGTTTGTTTATAAGGGAACGTCATGCATATTAACAGATAAGAAGAGAACAATTTAGATAACTTTTATAAATATTTGCGTTAGATATCGTGCCACTAAGTAATTTCGGGAAAAACATGGATGTTATAAAATTAATGCAGCGAGGATTTACGGGAATCTGTGCAGCGATTTTGCTGGAAATATGTCTGTGCGCGCGTTTTCACAGACAATTCCGTGTGTGACCTATGACTGAGAAATTTTCTCATATCTGCATAATCTACATAAAGTTTATGGTCATTTAAAAAATTTCTTCAACATGTCGACATAATGAAATCATTCGTTGACTTTGCCCATGCCCTTGTTTGCTTAGGACTTACAATTAGTCTAATAAACAAGGGACTAATTTCTCATTAAAAATAAAACTAAACGGATAAAATCATAATCCATAAATGTTGTGTATATTAAATTCTGACTAGCCACTTTTCTGGTCAAAAGGCGATATTTCCCAGGTAAATATGTAACAAACTATGATTATTAAAAAGATGCATATCCCACTACAAAATATGGAAGTTTTTTTAGAAAAAAAATTCTTTAATCATTTTTACTCATCTAGATACCATATAACGACAATTTAGATACACAAGAAGATTATTGATTTAGAAAATTTACGAGAAAATTGTATTATTTTACTTAATTAGAATTAGAAAAAAAAAACACTTTTTGAAAAACGTAATTTTTAACTAAATTATAGCATACAAAAATCAGCAAATATATTTGAAAGTTAATATTTACTACATTAATAATATGTATTGATTAAGTTATACCTTAATTAACATATGCAAGGAATTCAAGGAAAAAAAAACTGACATGTTTTGAATTTTTTATACAGGGTGTCCCACCGGAAACTGGGCCGATCGATATTTAGGCAAAAGCTCCGAAAAATTTGAAAGTTTGGCGTCGACACTAATTTCGTTATTTTAAATGGAACACTCTATATATTATTGCATTTTCGGATTCTACGTGAAATTTGAACTTTATTAAATATTCCCTATCCCTATACCTAGGAGTTATAGAGTTTGAGAGATATTTGCAATTTTCTATTTTTTGGACACTTTTGTCGTATCAGACCTGTTGTCTGTTGTCAAATTGGCCATGACCAGAAACACTCCGAAAACAATTGAAATAACATGACATTTGTCAAGTTAGTTGTCAAATTATTGTTATGTTTGTAATAGTTTTTGCTGAAAATTTAAATAAAAATGCCTGAAGATCGTTTAAATTATACTTTTGAGGATTATTTTAATTTGTTTGTTATTTACGGAAAAAAAAACAGCAGATTCTACATGTTCTTGAAATTACTTTGTCACATAAAGTATTGATTTTATTTCGATATGGAAATTTGAATTTAATCAAAAAAAGTAAAAATTGCTCTTTTCACAACGCAACTATAACTTCGTTTTTTAGCCCGTTTAAAAAAATTCTTGGATTGTTCTGATACAATTTTTTGTGTTTTTTTCATTGACTAGTTTACTTTCTATAATCAGCATTTTTGAGAAAATAACTAAATTTTTTGGAAGCCATATTGGGTTTCTTTTAAAACAAAATTGTTATTGTAATATGAAAGGTTTGGAAATGTTTTCAGTTGTGCTGCAAATAAATAGCGGAGTTACAGTTGATTTTTTAAAAGAGATACTCAATTTTTTCAAAATTCGATAACTTTTCAGGTATCTCCAAAACTATTACAGCTAGAAAAAAAACTGATAACATCCTCTCAAGCTCGAAACTTCATTGTTACTTCATATATTTGATATCTTTGTTTTCGAGCCAGTAAGGCTACTAGTATTGATTTCCCTATATTCCTTATCTTTCTAGATCAAAGGCAACTAGGATTTCTACTGAAAAAAAAGTTCTGTAACTTTGAGAGTTACTAAAAGAGTAACTTCAAGAATGCGTTTTTATTTTAATTCTAACTCATTTAGCACTACAAAAGAAAAGTATGGCCTTGAAATTCGAAACGAAGATATACAGGGTGTCTCAATATTCCGTGGACCTACCAGATTCTTGCAATTTTGAGCAACTTAACTAAACTGACCTCTATCTTAAGTTGCTTTGTTAGCCGCTAGAGAGTAAAGTTGAAGAAAAAAACTTGTTATTTCAAATAATGCCTAGTAAATCTGGTACACTAATATTTATTTGTAGATGTCACTGTATAGCATAGTAAATGATGTAAAATACCAACTTTTTCAACTATAAACACGTTTTTTGTATTGGATCTTTGATAAAAACCATAGCAGGCCACCATTTGTTACAGTTGTCATTATTGCCACCAATTGTCATTAATAAATCAGTTCTGTTGATTTTGACTATTCTTTTTCTTATTTTTAACAGCATTTGAAATACCCATCGATTTTGATTCTATATTGTTTATAAATCTGCAATTATTGAATAAGTGGCTACCTTTTCATGTGTACATTTTCTTACATAATTTATTTTGATGAATACGAGTTAAGCCACTGTCACACCACGCGTTTTTTGTCGTTGATCTCGGTATAACGTAATTAGAAGAAATTTCAAACGTTCCATATACATCGAAAGTATTGATCGCACATATCAAGTGAAACAATACCTTTATCCACATTATCCATGCATAAATGACAGATTATCTCATTCCTGATTCGCCTAGTGAAGCCGAAGACTCATTGTTTTCTTCACAATCTCTTTGAATGACAGTAATACTAAGTTCATGTATCAATAACGGTCCTACCCACTACCGATTGTAGTGAATATCACACGTCTGTGCAATATCGAGGTTAAGCCTACAAACACCCTTCACGAACGTATAATTCTCTTTTACTGCCGCAAAGTGCGTTAATTGATTTAACAAAATTGCAGCTGGTCGGCGGCTAAAAATGGAAACACGGCCGAGGCAAGTTCTTTCGTGTACTACAATTAACTAAGAGTAATGTGTAAGTACAGGTTGCATTGCTCGGGAGAACGGTGAGAAATTTTTAAACAAACAGCAACAACAACGCAACCGGTACTAGAAAGCAAACGGAGAACTGAGATTTTAGTGAAACGAAATATGTTCGGCTTGGGTTGCTGTATTTAAAAGTGAAATTAGAGATCATTAATTTTTTACTCTTTTTTTTTTAACTTTTTATTCGACGTAAAATCGGTTTCCTTATAAATAATTAAAATTTCGTCGGTGTAATACTCGAGGCGCGTCTGGTTTAAAATGCGTGACAAATAAATAAGAAACGCCGGAGAATTTTAAGGGCCGATAAATCGCTCCGAAAAATGGATATCTCTATCTTGCCAATACTATAGAATGAATTCAAATTATATTTCCCAGTGGTCGTCTTTGAATAAGATTGGTGTTTCGTTGTTCGGGAATTCGAGCACCACGTTGGGCGCCATGTCACCTTTCAATAATGTTGTTTCGTTGTACCTTATTTTGACTCAGCTACAGGTACCAACATGTTTCAAATAGTTTGAATGCTGACAGGGTCATAAATATACAGCTATTCACTCGAGTGTTATTTAAATATGTCAAGTAAATATGACAATTGGTACACCAAGTCTAAAAGGTACGTACCAAGAATTTGTAGCACGTTTGCTACAACTGCGCGCCACATTTGATGCTTGATTTACTCATAAAAAAAATCTCTCAAAAGTATGAAAGAAATTTACCTACTTATTTCTATAGTAACCATTCAACTGTTAACGTAGTATGTAACTAATTTTAATACGCTTTCAAATAAAATTTTTTTAATTCAGCGAACAAACGTTAAAACTATTTTTATACTGCTTTTTTCTCTCTAGTGTAAACTGTTAACAATAGTATCACAAATGGACTAGTGATAAAAATAAACAGACTTTTAATAATAGCCTTACAAGAATAGAAATACTAAAGTTAACAACTATAACATTTCGGTCAAATTTAACTTACAATTAGATACTGACATTTCTATAAAAAGCAAAGCGATTTTTCAATTAAAAACCACAAATTATTCTACATTTCTTTTGTATTACTAAGGGTAGATCAGGTAGTAAATGTTGTTTTGGCATACAAGTATTTGTTAAATGTGTTCCACACATTTTTCCTATATTTCTTCGCTCGGCCACACATATCCGGTATCTCTTGTAAGTATTCCTGTAATGTTTAGTGTTTCTACTAATCCGTTTAAAAACTTATCAGCAAAAGTGAAATAAGAACCAACAATTTGAAATTTAAAATTAGTTTTCGTTTCATTCGACATGTGGGAAATTATTTTTGTAGTTCTGGGATATTTGCCAATGTTTATAAACTCTCATTTGTATCGGTGATCGGCGACATAACCTTCAGTTATATTTTTAGAACCCCTCCTTATTAAATTGACATGATTTTAACTGCACATATTTTACGAACTCCTAGAAAGGAGAAAATTGAGGAAATCTAAAGACTTTTTTATAATTTTTATGGTATTATAAGCACTTTGATATCCACGAGGCTATTCTTCAACAAAGAGATGAGCGCAGAAAGTTAGAAAGTCGTTTTTTGTAAAATTTTATAGTAGGTAAATATACTTATGCTAAATCTCTACGTTAATTCTTGTTTAAAAGGAAAAAAAAAATAGTAAGAAGCAGTAAAAGTAAAATAAATCATGCTATTTGATTAAAGCCTTAAAATTTTACAAATAAAGGGATTTTAAAAAATCTTATCAGATCTAAACTAAAACTTATTAGGTGCCTATTGAAATCAGTGAAACGTAACAATAACAAATATGAGGAATGAAATACTGGTGGATTAAATACAACCAGAGCAAAGAATTCAACAGAGCACATTACATTATTATCTTTTAAGTGCATGTGCAACAAGCAGATCAAAGATTAAAGAATGCTAGTTTTTTTTATAGTTTTATAAATGGAAAGAGTACGTGTGCATAACTGAAAACTTATCTCTGTTGTAGGAAGAAAGAGAAATAAAACTAAAGTAGGTCTAAATAAAGGTCAAACATACCTTAGAAGAGTTTCATAATAATAATCCTCAGTGCAATCACAAACAAGTTTTAAATTAGGTATCCCAACGAAAATCGACAATTTAAAAAATTATATTTTAAAACGAGCGCAACACTCCAAACGGACTGATATAAATAGGAAACTAAACGCCGAAAATAAATATTAAAATAACTTCAATTCATTTAGTGACTCCGAATTCGTGTTTTAAGATTACACGACGCACACACTCACCGAAGAAGTTGACTGTCAACTGTTGCTTTTTTGGTTAAAAAATGTTTTCTGGTGGTAGCGCCCCCAACCGAAAGTTCATGAACTAAGAAAATTACTCAGTCGATTATACAACTTTCACATTATAGTCCAAAACGACTACAGCTACAAGAACATAGAAATCAGTGCTCTTGATTGGTGAATTTATTCAAAACGTTTACGATCTAAAATATATGACATTTACATCGACTTTTCGAATGTCAAATGTAAAGTGCAAAATGGATGCCAAGTTACAGTTTCTTTAAAACGATAAGTTAAAGAGATATCGTGCAAAATTACATAAATAATTTAAGATAAAATGGAACCTACTCCGCCCGATTCGCGTAATCACAACGATTCTGTAAGTCTTTTTGAATATACGTTTATTAACACTAAACACCCTTCACTTTGCAGAACCCACAAGAGATATCTGTAGACAATAATTTGCCAAGCCCTCCTCCAGTCACAGGTCTGGTTACAGTCCCTGTCCCAAACATACATATTGTCCTTGCAAGTTCCTCAACTGAAGACATTCCACCACCAAAAGCAGATTATTACGCACCTCCTCCATATGAAGTTGCCACAAAAGGTACTAAGCTACCTACATATGAAGAAGTACAAAGGGAGAAGCATTTAGAGGAGCAAGATATCTCCATTAACTCTCCGACTCCCAGAGTGAGTAATGGATTTGGAAATTTAAAGCGATAAATATTTGTATGTTTGACCTATATAGCTTTTATTTTTAAATAGACATTATTTCGTGGGTTTTTTAATTGTTTCATTACAAAAAGTGTGTTAATTCCAAATACGACATAGCAAAATATCTTGGAATATAAATAATGTTGATAAAGAGTTATCTTTATATTCAAGTAGTTATACTATTGATAAAAAGTTGTTTGAGTTTCATAATAATCGACATTTCATGATTTAAATTTGGATTTCTGTTTATGCAGCCTTTGCAGTTCCGACCACCGGGACAGAGGGTTTTGACGATTGAAAGTGAAAATCCTGATGATGTAGACACATCCTTATTAGGAACTGATTTTATGTTTTACATTGCCTTTTTTGGTGAGTGGTGAAAGACGTGTTGCATATCGTCTAATTTCAAAATATTCTTTTTTCAGTTGCTTTTATATTTAATTGGATAGGATTCTTATTGTTAATGTGCTTTTGCCACACGATTGCTTCAAGGTATGGTGCCCTTTCTGGGTTCGGTTTGTCCCTGGCAAAGTGGACTTTCATCGTACAGCATTCGACAGAATTGGCATCGAAAGACAACAGTTGGTTGTGGTGGCTGATCATGACTTTTGGTAAGTAGAGAATGTAAATTAAATTTGTGACGATGGAACGAAACGTGGTCTCTGTTTTTAGGTCTCATTATATGCATTCGAGCTATATTGCAATATTTAAGCATTAAACGTGGCTGGCACATGCTTTCCGCAAGTCACCAGGAGAGACTTTTGTTCTTCTATTAAGATTTAAATGTCAGTATGAATTGTACTAACTATTGATTCTTTTTACATTTGCAAGAGGTATGAGATTAGAAATTACTTATGTACTTTTTCATTCCTGATTTTTTTACAATTTCATTGTATATTTTGATATTTTTCACAATCTAGTGTACTGTACGTGTTTGTGATTTTTTTTATGTGATGATAGTAACTTTTTGTAATGCACCGACAGTTATCGCGTCGTCACATGTAACTGCATAATTCTAATTAGTGTTACTATGTTGTGTACAAATATATCCCCTTATAGATAATTATGTACTAGATCTGAAATGTATTAATATAACAACAAACCCAAATTGAGTCTTTTATTTTTCAATTTCGATAATTTAAAAACGAAGAAATTCTGGTTGATCAGCTATCTTACATTAATTGTTAAAAGTGAATTATTTCATTACCATATAAACATAAGTGGCTGTCTATTTCCTAAATATGCAGTCTTATCAATCAATAATCATAAATGATTATAAGCAGCAGCAGCGTGACTGACCAGTACTTTTATTTCCTTCTTGTTGGTAATTAAGTTTTAGTAAAACTGAAACGATAAGATCTAGATCACATTAAAACACAACATTCTGTTTCAAGGCTATGATTGGTGTAATTCTTCACAAGATTCTATTCAACCAATTAGCAATTGCATTATTTCGAGCGTAGACGTAACAGTTTGTTATTGTTTTGGGTACATAATGAACCCAGACAACAGCCTTCTTTTATATTAGAAGTCTATGCTCCAGTCCTACCAAGATTTAAAATTACAATCAAGGTCAAGTGTGCAATTATGCAATCGAGGACTGTGAGGCCATTGCAGAAGAAGAAGAAGCATTTGAAATATTAAAAGTTAGGTTAGGAGAAAGAAAAATAATCGAATTTGAAGGGTTATTCAAGGAAAAATGGGTAAAATAAGTTTACAAATTAGGACTACATTAGAGGCTATCGAAGAATTATATACGAATCATCCCGATTACACATTCTTGTTAAAATTGAAGTGTACCAGTTGCGGGGAAGTCTCCGATAAGTGGCATGATGTTATCGAGTCCCAGACTTACCCTGGAAAGACTGGTAAATCTGAAAATAATTATATAGCTAAGTGCAAGTTATGCGGCAGAGAGAATTGCTTAGACATTGTTCAAGGAAGTAATGGTAAGATTGTGGTTTTTTAGTTACGAAGTGAGTACAACACATTATCTTTTAGGAAAATACACCAGTGATGATCAGGGCAGTTTTAAAACTATCGTTACATTTGATTGTCGGGGGATAGAACCGGTCGAATTTTCTCCCAGCGAAGGGTGGATCGCTAAAGCTGAAGAGAGTGGAAAAGTCTTCGATAATATTAATTTAACCGAGAAGGAATGGGTCGAATATGACGAGAAAAGCCAGCAATCCGTAGGCGTTTATGAATTCGAGTCCATGTTTATTTCCGTCAAATAATTTTATATAGATATAGGCGTAACACTGTGGATATTAATTTTAAAGTTTGTTAAGGTAAAATGCTCTTTTTTTTCAATAAATTGGAGAAAAACAATGGTTTATTGTGAAATAAAAATGTATATTGATAAAATTTCTACACATTAAAAAATTACAATATTTGTAAACGAATCTAGGATGAAAAAATTCACTGTACACTATAAAGTTCTGCAATTACATACATAAAAGGTATAACAATATATACATATATAATACATCGATTTATACATTTAAAAAATTATTATCTGTGTGTCTATGCAAAATGTTAATTTATTTAAATAAATATATTTACTATGGTTACCACACGAGTGTCTCGGAATGAAATGAGACAAGTAATTTTTCAGATTGAAAGAAAATTACTAAATTTCGTCCATCGAGCTTGAAATCGAAAGGATTCGGTCAGAGTTATTACGAAATTATAATTAGAAATTTAAAAAATATAATTATGCGCATATGTTGCAAAAATATTACACCTCGACACACCACATGTAAAATTTTACATATTGATTTAATACGTGTAAGTTTTCGACTTTTTGATAATTCAAGAGACATATCGCTTCTCTTATGAAAAAACTGGTCGGTAAATTTTGTTAGAATAGCAGAAATCCACACAATTAATGTTTTATAATCCGTGTATTTTGATCTCTGATATTATTAAATTCTTAGAACTTGGAAAATCACGGCAAAATTTCGGAAATTCTTTTGACCCTTTAATTTTTTGCATTAGTTTAACAGAAATACTGTTTAAATTGCCTGGTCAACGAAGACAGGAGCTTTCCCAAAACGAACCACGAACATTGATATGCGTTATGCGATTAAGAGAGTACCAGTGTCATTTAAAGAATAACAACATAGAAAAATCAGCTTGCTGAAGTGTATACAACAGATAAAGGACAGTCAAAAGACCTAGACAAATACCAAAACTTTACAGACAATTTGAAAAATCGAGATATGACAAATGAAACGATGGCTTAGACCTACACGGAATTTTAAAAAAACTCACCCATAAAAATCTAGGATCGGAATATGACACGTCAAATATAAATACCAACCAGAGGACTTAATATCGTTTTAAAGATTCTTCTAAATAAGAGAGCGATACGTCTCTCGAGTCTAAAACGACGATGTGGTAAGGAACCCGCAACTTGTTCAACTTGTAACTTTTATCAGATACCCGTGCACAGCGTCAATACGAAGCTCACACTTACACTCACGACGCTTCCACTGTAACCGTCCCCGTTTCAGATTCTACCACTTCCGACGCACCATTACTACTACTAGGCTCGTCCCACGTGGCAAAATCAACGTTCATCAGCGCCATATTCTCAGGCGTAACATCGAGTTCTGTACCGCCACATTCCACACCGGTGAATGGTGATATGAAGACCTTGTACTGGGAATTACCCGAGTTCTTTTTTTGAGGCGGCCGATTCGCTCCGTCTTTGTCTATCCTGTCCATAATGATATCCTTTTTGTACAATATTCTCTCTTTTTTCTCGGTGTGAGCTGTTTTCAGGTGGTCCTCCCGTAAGCTTTTGCTTAAGAAGGACTTGTCGCAGTATTTGCACCGCACCGAGTAGGACGCGTGCTCTTCCAGGTGTTTCTGTAAGGCTTCTTGGTTTTTGATCTCGGTAAAGCAGAGCAGACACCAAAACGGACCGATGTAGTGGGTTTCCTTGTGTATCTTCAAGTGTTCCCTGAAGAGGAATATCGGTATTAAAAAGTTTGAATCTACAATTCTTTTTTTTTTTAATCAAATAAATAATCAAGTTATATGAACATGAATTGTTGTCAACCTACAGTGCACGTGAAGGGAGATAGCACAGGTCAACAGTGACGAAGCGAAGAGACTCAATTGTCCTGCATTTTTCACATCTAACTGAATCTGAAGTTATATTTAACAGAAAACAATTCGGCAGGTTACACATTTAAGAGATTATGCGAGCTTTGAATGTTAATACAATTATTTGACTAAATTGTATAATTAATTTTTATTCTGTTGCAAACATATTTTATAATAATTTATAAAACCCGAATTAACATCTAATTATTCAACAGCAGAATGAATTGTAATTTTTACTTATATATTTAAAAAAAAATGGGTATTGAGAAATTTCGGAAAAATTTTCCTGCTGTTTCTGAAGAAAACATTCACGAACAATGAATTTTTCCTTTGCGAACATTTGTAAATATTTTCAAGCAGATGCTAAGAACATTCTTGCTTTCAACACTACCTATAATAAGTGTTACTTACCCTGTGGTATACCGCTGTTGACACTCGTCGCAGTAATGCAATGCCAGTACGTCGTGATCCATTATTTTATGGTGGTTCAATACATCCAAGTCCTCGAAGTACAACGGGCAGTCTTCCTCCGTGCAATAAAACTTCGTGTGTTCCAATTCCTCACGATTCCTGATCTCCCTTTCTTGCTCCCTACTCACAGACCTAGTTCTCGTACCTGTACGTCTACCTTCTTCGAAATTCCTCGTCAGCGACCCACTTTTGTCTCTTGTGTAGTAACTGATGTAGGAACGTTCACTTAAGGGAGTGTCGCTCTGCCTCCTATTCCTCCTGCGGGGCGGGAAAGTACCGTAACTAAATTCCGAGCTAGCCGGAGAGGGACCGTGACGTTTACGATGGGTCCAATTGTGACCCTTCCTTCGCAGTCTTTTCCTTTTACTTGGTATTCCGTTTGTTTTACTGGATTCAGAGATGTCGGACCGGCCCACACCACTACTCGCTCTGCCTACAAGTAATCAACATGGTTGTTTAATAGTGCACTAGAATATAAACTTACTTATACTTCTGTTACGTTCCATAATCCGAATTTGCTCCTCGAGACCAGGACTGTAGTCTCTAGAATGGCTGAGAACTAACAAATTGGGGGTTGGGGTCCTACACGAGACGCCGTCATCTTCTCTATCGTCTTCTCTTTTAAACGTAGCAAATAATTCCCATATTTTACCCAAGTTGATTGGTTTACAGTCCTGGTTCTCATTGGCAATAACTCGCCACAACCTCCACTTTAATTTAGATACGTTCTCAAGCATATTCATACAAACGTTGCAGACGCAATCACTTGCATGTAAATATGATTCCGCCTACAAATAAAAAAGGAAGAATAAATGCATTTAACTTTACATAACAGTATGTAAGGAACATATTAAATAATAGTGTTGGTATTTAAACATCCTGTCTAACCTCTTAGAATAATTACAAAACATAACATAACCTAAATACACATCCAACTTTAATTTTTATCTAAATAAATATTCACACATATTTTTTTTAATTAAAAACCTGTATACTTACATCTGCTCCTAAAATTGTTATAATATCGTCCCTTACACAGCGATTAGCGTTCCCGTAAATTGTGTATATATTGAAAATGCCACCAGTTCTTTTACACAGTATGCAGGACATTTCTGAATATAAATTGGATTGGAAACCAAAAGAAAATACGTTCAGACACTGCAAATTATAATTTTCATTATCAAAAGTGACATACTTTTCAACATAACGCCTAAAAAATAGTTCAAAATTATGGTACCAAACAATGCGTCCAAAGTCAGTGTCAATTATCACCACCACACTACTAACACAAAAATCACTGTCCAGTGGCGAAGCGTTCGACCATTGCCAACTTAAATAGAAACCATGATATTTGATGACGTCATAGATTAGCTTACAGCACTACATCTAGTGCTATAGGTTAGCTCAACAATTTGTCATGGTTTATGATGGTTTACAGTTCTCATTCTCGGAACCAAGACATATGTTCTTATAAATAGAGTTAAGACTTCACATTCGCCTCAAAATGTGTTTAAGCGGGTAGAAGTAGCCCAGAAAAATGGTAAATTCGAAATATATAAAAATATAAATATATACAAAAATATATAAGAATATATATAAATATATATCTTTTCGCTTTGCGTTTCTAATAAAAGACAAGTATTTAGATAACTATATACATTTTATTCATACTTTAAATATAATCTCCAAAATTTGTAAACACATAATTCCAATATTTCGGGTCACCCCGTAAATCTAAAGGTAAATTACCTGGTGGAATAGCAGTTTTGTTGTATTCAGTCAAAATATTCTCTAAATTGGTAAGTATTTGAGGATACCTGCAAAAACAAAATAAAGTATATATAATTTAGGAATTTTTACTTACTCCTGAGCTAGATTCCTTATTTCACAAGGATCCTGCAAGATATTGAAGAGACATGGCGACTGCAACGGCTTGCATTCCACAGAAGGCAGGGTGGAGCATTTTACATCTGCTTGAAGCCTGAGTTGTTCAATTTGCTTAGGAGAAGCTAATTTTCCAAGCGACTTTAAAGCAACGCCAGCGGGACTGGCTTGAAGCGAGGATATATTATAATTGTAATTTCTACCGCTTGGTCCGTACCAACTGTCCCAGCTGCCACTGTAGGTGGTACCTAAATGAAGTTGCGTTAAAAGAAAGAATGGTAGAAACAGATGTTTCTCACCTTTAACAATCTTCCATGAACCTACAGTCAAAGCGGCATTGCCATAAATGTCGTCAATGTTATGTAGAATTTCAGTTCTAGAGGATTTTGAATCTTCTGACAAAGCTTTCCATACATTGAGGCCGTCTATTTTAGGAATGGAGCTAGAAAACAATAATTTGTATTGGCATCATCCAGTTCGGAAACAAAGTACAAATACGTTTTAAGAGATTGAAGGATAAGCAGAAATGTAAACAAACACCACCATGTTCTAAAGAAGTAGATTAGGGACGTGTGGAAAAAAGTTGTTATCGAGAGACTACCTACAAAGAAAAGCGCCAGAAGAAAGGGCCCTAGCCGGCGGGGCCCAGCCAGGACAAAAGGAGGTCCCACAAAGCGCCTACACCGACCGCGGTCGGGGTAGACGACGGATAGGGCCCACCTACAAAGGCTGTCCAGGCCTACACGAGATGAGGCAGGATAAAGAGGGATAATCCCCTTCAATCCCAAATCATTGAGGTCAATTTATAGCCATGGAATAATGGCGCTCGGCGCGACTACCTACTTGAAATGTCAATCATTCTAAACGACGTGCCAATCATCCAACTAACCATTGCTTGAATATTTGCGTTTTGTTTCAAATTATGGGATAGTTAATCATTTACTGGCGATTACCTGGAATATCCTGCTGCTTCAAGAAGGGTGGGTAGCCAATCCGATACGTGCATGGTTTGGTTGGACACTCTGAAAGGTTTTTTGATTAGGGGACTCCATATCAAGCCAGCTCCTCGAATGCCTCCCTCCCAAAGAGTGTTCTTCACCCCTCTAAGAGGGTAGTTTGAGGCAGCGTTCAAATTGAATCCAGCTGCGGGGCCTCCATTGTCCGTGGTGAAGACTATTATGCTGTTCTCCAACATATTTCTATTTTTTAGTGCTTTAACAACCTCTCCGACAGAGTAGTCCAATTTACTCAGAACCCCTAAAAATAATGTACCAAATATTGGTGGATGCATAAGTTCGTCGCGTTTTTGGATTCAAAAATTAACTATTTTCTCTATTGCATGTTTGAAGTGAAGAATTTACGAATTTTAAAGAACGACGTCTCATTAAAGGAAATTCCTGGGAGGTTGTTCGATAGAAAGCGGAAAAATGCGAATAGGTGTTGTACAATAACCACCCAACCGAGCTCGTAAATCTTTTTCTGTTTTTTTTTCTTTCTCAGGACGAGGTAGTTGTTGTCAATCAACCTCAGTAGTGATGGTTACATTCCTCAAAAGCAATTTATAATAGTCAAGTCAATAGGTAAACATTAAAATAAAATTACGAATGTGAGAGCTATCGGAAAATGATTTCGGAAAGCTAAGATCACTACGGAAGTGTCGTGTCGATCGGCAAAATGTGTAATAAAATCTGTAATGATATTTTTCAAGCAAATCGTTTAGAAAAAGTATAAAAACTGTAGTCGTTATCATTCATTTTATTATTATAATTGAAAAAATCATTTATCTTAACAAAGAGGGTATTACCTACTCGTTTTAATATACTTAGACTGTCAACGTTTTTTAAATTTTGGACCCAATTTCAGAAGATGGCTCTCATTTGAACTGTACGCAACTCAAGCATGAGTACACCCATAAAACTTAAGAAACTTGAACTACATTTATACATACCTGCAAACCTTTGCCGATTGTAGTCTTTAATATACGTAAATTTTTGAACTTCGGAGTCTGGTGCCGGTAAAGGGTTGTAAGGATTCGCAGAGTGTACAGCAGCGTGTGCTATATAAAGAAATAAGGGCGTACTGGTGTTGTGGTCCTTGATCAGTCTCACTGATTCACGTGTAAAAATGTCTGTGGAGTACTCTCCGTGCAAGTCGTAGGCAATGTCCATGTTTCTTCTGATGTCCAAACCCCAACCAGGATTTTCCACTGCCGTGTGGTCGTTGTAATCGTGGTGGCCTGTCCAGTATCCTTTAAAAAATAGTATAGACGTTAAATTGACTTATTGAAAATGATTTATACTATACGCAAATGGGAAAATTACATGTTTTACGCATTATTAACTTAAAATGTCTGTTTACATATAATCCCTTTTAGAGTGAATCGAAAGATGCGAGATAAATGTAGATGTGAAGATGAGAAGTGGTTCATTTAAGATGTAAAAACAGTTTTTTATGCTTGGACTTACATAAATAACAAAATTATCACATTGCAGACGTAAAAACTCAACACTATCAGATTGTAGTACCTAAATGAGACCTGAATCCTCTGTACAAAGGTGTGTACTCCTTTTTATACGACCCCAAATGCCATTTTCCTACGATGTGATTCACGTATCCCAACTCCCCCAAATACTGGGGCAACAGCTTCTCCGTTAGGGGTAATCCTCTTGGTTCTGCCCCATACAAAACGGTGTGTTGCATTCCTGTGTGGATGGGGTACTTTCCGGTCATCAAGGCACTTCTGGAGGGCGTGCATATCGGTGTCACGTAATAGTTGTTGAGAATTAACCCCGAGTAGGCCAGGGCGTCGATATTGGGCGTCGGTATTTCGCTAGATCCATGGAACCCCACGTCATTCCATCCCTAGGTATAAAATAACGGTTTGTGAACGTTTTTCTTAATTTCCTTTTTCGTAGTTTTTAGGAAAGCCACGAAAAAGAAAAACAAATGAAGGCGTAGTGAAACGTAGATTAGGTTTACGTGAATCAATCAATGAGAATATTTTGAATATTATTTACCAAATCATCAGCGACAATGAAGATTATGTGGGGTCTAATATTGCTTCCTTTTGTTGCACATGCACCAATGGCAAAAGCAAATAAAATTTTCAGTATCATATTATTGCACCTAAAAACAAAAAAAAAAATGTAGTTTATATTACAAATGAATGAAATAAGCCATTACGATGTTTACGCACGAGTGTGGCAAATTCTCACGTGCTTAAAATAAGACTTCCCTTTCACGTGTGATATGCGACGATTTATTCAGCAGTAGCAGATTTTTTAAGAAAAAACAAACTTAAAAGTGTATTTTAAAAAGTCAATTCTTGACTGTCAACATGGACAGCTGTCGATAAGAAACAAATTATCTTTATTCACAATAAAGTAACTTTATTTCAGTAGTAGAATAATTAAAAATTATTATAAATCAAATTTAGTTTATTTACTTATTAACATTTTCATTCATTATAATAGACATTTTTGTTTTATCACATTTAAACTTCCTTTCCGTTAATAACAACCCTTGTAGCATTGTTGCCATCATTTTTGGAACGCATAACATCTGCCGAAGTTTGTGAAGAATTTGCACAGGTTATATGTATTTTCCCTCCATTCGTTAAATTCTGTGAACACTATTTCGTAATGTTCCCTGGATTTCGCTGGCAATAAATGGAAAATTGCTTCTTGAGCTTATTCAAAAACAGCCACAGGAACACAATTACTCTCTTGCATTTTCACCAAATTGAGATAGTTAATTAAATAATTGATAGTCGTGCGAATATTTTTTTATCAAATTCCAATAATTCTGACTCCACAAATATGATTGTGATGTGATTATGGATAAAACGTTGTATTGCATTCGTGTTTTAATTGCCTTTTATCCACTTAAGATAAAATGCTACTTATACTATACAAAAAATAACTATTATTACTTTTTGACTATTTTTATTTAAGAAAAAGAAAAATGGTTTGAAATGTCTTAGAATTCATACCAACTGAAACAATTAAAATGAATTTATCGTAATTACCAATATTTTTCTCCGACAAAAGTGGGTGTTCAATGAAAAAACAAATGCATTTAACAATTAACTGCACAATTAACTACAATTTGAATTGTAGCGTTTGTGTGGGCAATTCTACACAATTTTTTTGATAATAAAAGCGTTCTATAATAGTACCTACCCAAACTACAATAGCCATAAAAGTATTAAATACCATTTAACAAATTTATGCGCTTACGGACAACGTTTTGATAAACTCATTTTTATGTTGCTATTCAAATACTTCTAAAAACTTTTAAGTACATGATAATAGTTACATCAATTCCCAATGAATACATAAATATTATAAATTCATATTATTCTTTCTGGCTGTGTTTACTTCCAGGAATTACTTAGGATTCAAGATGTTATTGAAACGATTGTTTATTTAAATGGTCAGGTAACTATAATTAGGTAATTAAATATTAAATCACCTCTATTTTCATACAGGTCATAGTTGTACATTACTTGTGCAATATTAATAAATTAACATACACGAATAAGTATTTGTTATAGGTACAAAATGATATTAGGCTTTGCACTAACGGACTTATAACTAGAAACTAAAATTTTCACACCTATAAATTTTAATTAGGTACTCACATTCAAGCTAATGCACTGTAACTAGTCGTACTTAGAGAAAAACCGTGCATCATACAAATACAAGTGGTGTGGCTGCGCGTCTACAAATATAACTGAAGTTCAAGTTCAAGATAATAAGCCTGATTTTGTCATCACAATTTTAATGAATTATTACAGAAACCGCTACTTGGCTCTCTGGCCCAGAATATTGAATTTTAAATTGTACTCGTTCTGATATCAGCACAATTGGGTGTAAGAGGTTACTGACATCTTTATTGGTTTTCGAAATGTCGGGGTTGCTACGTGATTGATTACTTAGGACTTTGACATTGATTAGAAAATTCGCATAATCCGTGGTTCCATTTACTTGTTTATCCAGAGGCGGGCAGTCGAATGATCTATTTATAAAAAGGGGACAATAAAAATATAGTAAATTAAAAATTTTACTAACCAGACGTTTCGATCTCCTGGGATTCGTCAGATGTAAGTGGGTACGCGATAAAAAATAGTTTCATTATTTTAAAGAAGTTCCACTACTATTGTATGTTTTAAATAATAATTATATTGATTTATGTTTCTTACCTTGTACTAAAACAGTTGTAAAAACTTCTACAAACCACTAATCGACATTTTACTACTATTATTTACTGCTGTGGTACAAATTCCTAGGAAAATAATACTGGTTTCGTAAATCATTACCTTATTATAATATTTGCAATAAATAACTGTTTACTTGCTTACTAAAAGTAAATGAAATAAATAATTAAAAAAACGTTGTTTCTTAATCTATATTTGAACCAGGTCAAAACTAATTATTCTTATAATTTCAAGGATGTAAGTTCCGATATATTTAAGGACAAGGTGCGTAAAGAACATATTTTTTACGTTATTTCCAATGCCTTCATAAGTTTATAAATGACTGAAAGCATTATTTTATTGTGAATATGTAAAAATTTAAATTCAGTCCCATTTTCAAAAAAAAACCCTACAATTGAACTACAATTGAATTTATAGATAACTTCTTTCAAAGCTTTTAAGTTTCACCGGGCACCACAAGATGACGCTAGCGCCTATAAATTCTAATGTCCCCTGAACTCAGACATTGAGTAAATATACGTCTACTTTAACATCTTTTTTATATTTTCAAAATTTATTTAGTTAACTAATCGTTCGTAAAATATAAAAAATATGCAATGAAACAAAAGAATTTAAATCGAATTTAATCACGCATACTTTGATGTCTTTTTGTTCATTTTAAACAGATTTACAAAGCTTCAAAGCAATTATGCCGAATCAGAGTCTATCAAAGACCTTCTATACTCTTTTAAAATTTCGATCATAAATTGCATACCTACCGTAAAACTTCTAAACGGATTTTAAATTGAAACTGGCGAAATTAGTTTTTTATGACTTCTTAAATATGAACGTTTAAAAGTTTAAAATACTTTCGAGGGGATTCATTAGTGGACTAATTTCAATTAATTTATGCAGGGGTTTTCCAATAAGACGTATTCAAGTCGATTTCTTTGCCAATCAGCTCTTTTATTCAACAATTTTATCACGAAATTTAACTTGTCCAAAGTGGTGCATGAAGATAAAATTTTCAACCTACCTTTTAAAAATAAATAGAAGAGATAATGATGATTTTTTTGTAAAAGCAAAAGTGACAGTAATTTTTTTTTCAACAAGTAGCCAAGAGCGGAAAAAGAAAATAAAGGGTTTTTTCAAGATAACTCAAAATATGTAAGAGCTAGAAAAAAATGATTCTTATAAGAGTTGTAGAGCATAAAATTCTACATAAAAATGGTCTATTGACTTTTTCTTGTCCTATTAAAATTAATAGAGTTAGGGTGGCTAGAAGTTAAGGGATGATTTCAGAAATTTAAAAATATCATAACAAGCAGAAAAATGATTGAATTTTATAAATTCTTTTTTCAATCTACTCTAAAAAATGTAAACTTCCTATTCAGAAAAATAGATATATTTTTTTAATTTTTAATAAAGACAAACACTGGTCCGAAAATGCATATTCAGATAAACGCCCTCTATTAAAAATTTTTTTTTTAATATGTTGTGTTTTAATATGTTTAATATGTTAAAACAATACTTTTGAAAAAAAATCTTTTATTAAATTGATTTTCTTTAAATTTTGCAGTAATTTGCACAATAATGATTGCATTTCCTTTTTGTTTTACAATAGAAACTACAATTACTCAGCTTTTTTAAAAAGAGTTTTAATGAATATGTTAAAATAAATAGACAACTGAACAAGGTCGAGGTACAAAAATAATAACAAATAAATATGAATTAAATATAAACTTAGACTACCATTATTATTGTACGAATCAATTTTCAATCAGAAACTTTAAAGATTAAGTTTAATAAAGTTGCAAATGAAATTAAAAACAATAGTTTTCATTAGTTTCTTTATGAAAAAGAGTACAATTATGTAGTACAATCTGGTGGTGGACATTTCCAAACCAAGACCAACCCTCAAAGCTTTCTGCGACTTTTATTATTTATTCATATTATAAAAATGCTAAACATTTTATACAGCATTTATTATAGAATTTATATCCGACCTTTTTCATAGTTGGAGTATAATGTGGCCAGCCCTCTCGCCAGATTTAACGTATATCGATTTCTTCAAGTGATAGCATTTACAAAGCAAAATTTATGAACATCTAGTGGACAACGAATGATATAGAAGATTTAAAAAATGTGATCATAGCAGATTACTTCCAAAAACGATTAAAAATATATAAAATGAATTGTTTATCGATGTGGGTACCGCGAAGCGACAAATAGAGTGGTATAATGTTGTAATTATTGTTTTTCTTTTATAGATTTCACTAATGGATAACATACATTTTTTGTTACACATAAAATATAAGCTTTCTACCCTTTTAGTCTACAAAAACCTGTAATTTGATTTCGCAAAATGCAACTGTAACAATAGCGGTCGGTTTTCGCTCCAATCTTGCGCATTTTTCCATATATCCCTGCCAATAAACCGCTCGCATATGCACATAAACATGGCCAAAAGCGCAATTCGATAACAAAGTAAACATTTTGTGCCTACAACAGTCCCGACACGAGTTTTCTGTTCATAAACACGTTTTATTGGTTCGTAACTAACCATTGTTCAGTAGTTTCTAATCACCAGAGTGCCGAGTCGGCCTGGTTTTCCGTCTGTTGGCGTCGTCCCTCCACGCAAGCTGCTGCAACTGATACAATTTAGCTTTGGGGCTTTACGAGGACGTCAAATGTTGGGGAAAACTAGATAATATTCACTGATCCGGCTAGCCTAAGTAGGCGTCTGGTAATTAACGGGAATATATATTCGTTTTGGAACGTATTTACATGGGTTTGTCCGATTTGTTACTGTAGTTAAATGGTTTTCAGTAGCTCGTCTGGAAAATGGGGGTCATGTAGGAAGAATATGGTAAACCAGGGGGTGGTGACAGTAGAATTGTGATTGAAGCTACAAAATTGCTTAGAACATTAGAACTTTACAGAAAAGATATGGCATAACAATTAGATCTTCATCAAAGAATACATTTCACTAGCATGGTATTCCATAATAATAAAAATACTAGTGATGGGAGATTTCGAGTGAAAAATCGAGTGGTACTCGATTATTGAGATCACTCGAGATATCTCGAGATGTTTACTCCCACCACTCGAGTGATTATTACCCTACGGTTGCACCCCAAAATTTTAGTGCATACTGCAAATAGTCACTGATTGCGTAACCTTTTTTTTAGAATAAAACGAAAAAGTGGTTAGGTTTTGAAGTGCGTGAGCTTTTTTTTTTT